GGATTCTGACAATGGATACTGTATACATTTTCTACAAATTAACTTAGGAAGAGGGATTTCCACAACTTCACTTCTTGCTTCTAACTGTAATAAATACGATATAATTCTAATTCAGGAGTCATACTGTATAAACAATAATCCTTCCTGTCTCCCCACTTACTGTAATATTCTTAAAGGTACAGATTCTTATCCTTGGGCAGTCACTGTAATTACTAAGCTTGATTACCCTCTATTATATCATAAAAATCTTTCCAATAAATTCTTAATCTGTACTGAAGTTATTTATAATAGTGTTACCTACATTATTATCAATGTGTATTGCCCTAAAGACATAGGAATGGATAATATGATCCAAAATATAATAAATAGCTTTCAGAATGTCATGTTCATAATTGCTGGTGACATAAATGCCCACTCACCTTTATGGGGAGGCGAACAACAAGATCGCCGCAGCGAACTATTTGAAGAATTCCTTGCCTCTAATGGTTTACATCTACTGAATAACCCTTTATCACCACCCACATATACTTCCAGGCAAGAGGATACCTGGATTGATATTACAGTATGTAGTCCTGAGAGTGTTGCTGAAATGGATAACTGGAGAGTTTTATGTGAAAATAGCATTAGTGACCATACATATATTTCATTTCAACTTCATGACTTACATTGTAATAATACATATGCACCAATTAAGTCCCAATATAATCTTGCTTTGGCTAATTGGGATGAAATGCAACGTTTCTTGATTAATAATCTTGTTAGTTATAATTTTAACAGAATTGATACTATTGAACATTCTCTTAATTACAATACTGAAACAATTGAGAATGCGTGTAACCGATTCATTCCTAAAACGATTCCAAGACTTCGATCGGTACCATGGTGGATTAAGGAGCTTTCTGCCCTTTGTAAAATTAACAATGCTCTGAGACGGAAATACCAAACCTGTAGAATTGAATCTGAGCGAAATCAACTAAAACAGCAATGCTATAATCATCAGGCTATATATAAAAAAGAAATAAAATGTGCCAAAATTAAATCATGGCGTGAATATTGTACTAATACCTCTAAAAACCCTTGGGGTATGTTACGAAATTATGCTTCGGAAACAGCAAATACTCGTTAGTGTGGGTAATGATGCTCTCAACAGTAATTTTCATGATACTCTAAATAGACAGTTAGATACCTTCTGTATAGCTGATCCCACAGATGAAGATACTCCATGCTATTGTTAATACCAATAACTCTCCTGCTTTTACTTATCATGAAATTAACAACGTTTTTAATGGACTAAAAGTGAACAAGACACCTGGTATAGATGGCATTAATGTGAAAATCGCTAAACATATTTGGCAAATTATCCCACAGCATCTAGTACTTATGTACAATACCTGCCTAATTGTAGGTATTTTTCCCATTAAATGGAAAACTGTGAAAATAGTCCCTATTCCTAAGTCTGGTACCTCTAATGATTTTCAACCGATCTCTTTGCTGCCAATATTCGGTAAAGTTTTAGAATGACTAATGGCTGACCGCTTAACTTGGATTGTTGAACATAATTCTTTCCTTAGTAACTTACAATTTGGTTTTCGACAACAAAGATCCAATGAAATACTTTTGACCTCATCTAATTCTTGTTCTGCAAGTGAATCTTTGTGTTCGGTAAGTACTCCTGTACTCTAGGTGTCTTGGAGATCCTTATGGGCAAGTTTACTCTGAGGAGTATTTGTGGTTCCTCCCTGACAAATTAATTTCAAGAGAATATGGAGTTATTCCTGGCAGTTCTGTCCTGCAAGACTTGTTCTGCAAAACTTGTTCTACATGTACTCAAGGTGTCTTGGAGGCCCTTATGGGCAAGTTTATCCAAGAAGTTTTGTGGTTCCTCCATAACGGACTTATTTCAAGAGAATATGGAGTTACTCCTGGTGTTTTGCTCTGCACATTTTTCCTCTATATTATTCCATTGAACTCTCTCTTAGCTTTAATTTTAGTTATTAAGTTTATTTTTCTCATGTTAGTTATTAAGTTCTAAAAATAAATCTGTCTGCAATATTTTCTACATCCGATAACTCTGTATACATTGCTATTCTGTAATAATATTTCATTGTTATTTTGTATTAATGTTATTAATGTATTAATTATTCTCTCTGTAATATTTTGTATTTAACTGACAGTTTTGTATACACTGTTAATATGTATTATTGTAAAATGTATATAATTTTTCTCAGCTGTCCTCTTGTGGTGCTGAGTATGTGCCTCGAGCACCTAATTAAAAAAAAAACGATTGATTGAAATATTACACGGCACATACACATGCAGTAGATATTATTATAGTGCATCATTGTTGCAATGAATAAAATGTTTCTTTTATTAAGATATTTTTTCCTTCAATTTATTTCTGTCTTCCTTTTCATTGTAAAATAGTTGGTCACCTTATTATTACTGAAGAAGTTTGTTGTTAATAATTTGTAAACATTTTATCTTGTTAAAGATACATTGAATATCATTTATGTTTCTTATTCTGTAACAAAATGATTTACTTGATTACTCTAATATTTTTAAAATTAAAGCTTAATCTTCTGCAATTAAATTACAGCAAATATTTTAGAACTATGTATTTAATAATAAAACGTTTGAATGAATAAAGAAAATAACTCGGCAAATACAAATCAGGTGTGTGTGGTTTATTATTAAATAGATAGTATTGCTGAGAAGGTAGATAGAACTATGCATTTCAATACTTAAAAGAAACTATTAAACCAGTTTTTTTTCCTGAATGTAGTATAACAGCTATTTCACACCAAAACAGTCAAGTTGTGTTGGACAATGCTGGATTCAACTGAAAATAAAGAGAATGTGCCAATTTGATTTCACATAGAAGGCATTATGTCCAGTTCAGTTATGTCAAAGTCAAATCAAGGCTGACTGTGGCTTAGCTTAGTCAAGATTTTTATATCAATCTTGGTCAGTCAGTAGGAAAAAGTGTATTCTGTGTTCTTTTAAAACTAGAGTTACCATATGTCATGTTTGGCCTGGACAGTTCTGGAATCATGCAACATCTGGGTTTATGTCCAGAAATAAAAAGTCAGAGATTTTTTTTGTGTGTGGAAGGAACAAAAAAATAAATAAATTGTTTATAGCTGCAGCAATAATTTGATTTTCAGTGTGTCTCACAAGAATTCAATATATGTAAAGAAATCAAAGTACAGTAGACTCTTGAAAACTCGGCCTAATGTGGACTGAAGGGTGGCCGAGTTTGTGAAAATGCCGGGTTATCGGGAATGGGGTTAAAAAAAAATAAGTATGAGTATTTCCTCAGAAAATACTGTACTGTACTTGTATGTATTGTTTACTTGAGAATACAACAGAGAATAAACTGCCTAAATAACCTTAAACAAAGGAAAAGTATGTCCTTTATGAAGGCATAGAGCCTTTACTACATGAAAATGAAAATTAATGAATACACTGTGTACAGTAATTTACCTGATAAGACAGACCTCAGAAAAATACTTTATGAGGCATAAAGCTGTCTATAATGAAAATTAATTAACTAAGGATTTTTTTGCCCTGCCAGGGTGTGGCCGAGTTATCCGGACTGCCGGGTTATTGAGTGCCGAGTTTTGGAGACTCTACTGTAACATATAACTTAGTACAGATAGAAGAAGTTTAAAATAATTAAAAATGTGTTTGCAAAAGGATTTTTAAGTAGCTTAGTGTAAGCTTATAAAAGTTTACTATAATTGTTTTCAGTCTGGCAATGTTGCTCTTCTCAGTGGTAGCAGCAGCAGTATGAAGAACATTGTTAATTGAGTTTGATATGTGTTTACTAGAGACATCAGCTATATTAGAAAGGATCTTTCCATTATGAACAACATTTTTTGCTTATGGTGTTGGCTACAAATGTCAATAGTAAAATACTTATTAAATTGAATTTTAAATATTCTTGCAGTGACTTTTATGATCATATAATCTAATAAATAGTTTTTAAAAAGTATTATCTAGTAAAAAAATACAATGTAATGGGTCTAAAACAAGAACAATCATTTTCACAACTTACATAGTATGCCTAATTTTTTAAAATTTTTCTTTAATCTGTAGATTAAATGTGCCTTTTTCTATAATTTGTATTTTGACCTTTTATCTTACACTTTTATAACTATAAACACCAACCAAAACCTGATGCATAGCAAATAGATACCCCAACTGCTGTAAATAATTGGGCTATAATTTGGAAATAATAAATATAGCCTGATTATTTACAGCAGTTGTGGGTGTCTATACACTTTTATAGAAAATCTTTCATTACAAGAAAGGATTAAAGCATATATCTTCATAACATTAAATTTTATTCATTTTTCTAAAGAATAAGTGTTCATAAGTGTCCCAGATGTCCTGTATTCTTATCCATAATTAATGTAAATGTCCAGGATTACTTTTCCAAACTTATGGTAATCCTATTTAAAACAGAAGTATGGAAGATTTAATTTTAATATTAGAGGATATTGAAATAATGTATCTATACTCCCAAGCTATTCAGCTTCCGAATTTTTTTACAGAAGATTTCTTAATTTAAGAAATAAATATGGGATCATTTGAAAGTACTGTAGTTGAAAAATTTGTTTGGGTCCTTTAATAAATCCAGAAACAAATGACTGAAAGACCCAAAAACAAGTCTTCTGGTATTTATAGGATGAATCCAAAATAGTTCTATTTTTTGCCTCCTCTTTTTTTTTTTATAATTTTTTCCTTTTTTATATCTTTTCTCTTCTCTTCTTTTCTCTTCTTTCTCTTCTTAAAATTTTTAAGAATTCTCATCATAAAGTAGATTAAAGAACTTCAGGAAGAGATACGTATTTCATAAAACTGTTTACAATGGTAAAAAAAATTGAACTGTTTATAAAGATGGTTTAACTGATAAAAGTGAAATTATTATAATAGTATTATTCTATAATGAGCAAAAATGGAATAAAATAATCCAAATTATACATTTTACTTTTTAGCGAATATTTTATGGACCAAAAGAAAGAAGGACCTTATTGTTAGGATTACTTCGTATTTCTGTTTGGCAAAATGCATACAGAACTTGGAAGAATGGTTACAAAGGCAATCTTAAAGGCGATGGATCACTTTTAGGAGGTAACTGTTTTAAGATATATTTTAAACACTTCAGGAATATGTAAAATATTATAACATAATAAAAATAGAATAATTACATTTTAATATTTTCAGTGAATAACTGAATGAATGAAATATTTTAGAAAAAATAGACAATTAGACTTAAACACAGTTTGATTTTATGATGTAAGCTGAAATCTTGTTATAGAATCAAATGTCATATCTTACATTCTTACATACATTTCTTATATTATTTTTCTTCTGTAAATGAGTGAATATCTGTTGAAAATGTTAGTCATTTTTATACAGTGTTTTGTGTTTGATTTTTATAATTTTCTGGTTATGTATATATTTTTAAATCTCATAAAATGTGTGTTAACTGATAAGAAATATGTTAAAACAGTACAAGGAACTAAATATTATTTGAAAAACTTAATTACAAAGAAAATAAATTATTACAATGTTTAAACATAATTTGAATTTTTTTATATTCCTCTTTTGATTATAAATGAAGTGCCAAACAATAATTTTTATATAGTTTATATAAGAAAGCAATCCTTTTATTATATATTTTTTATATGCCACTAACTTTAATTATGTTTGTTTATTCTTGATATGGATTATATCAATACAATTAAATAAATTAAAACTAAACACTGTAAATAATCTTTACAAAATATTATTATAATATAAATATCATAAAATTAATTATTGATAGTGCAAAGCATTCAACCGATTGACTTTCATTCCTGTCATAAATGAAGTGTTTATGACATATCTTGTTTCATAAATTATATTGCAATTTGTTCATGTAAGTTGATAGCATCTCTAATTTCACATTCATAAATAAAATAAATGTGAAATTAGAATAAAATGTAATATTTCTCTCTTCCCTCTCTCTCTCCTTAACCTATAGGTTTGTGGGCAACATGGAAAAAAAAAATAACGATTGAGTTATAAAGTTTTCCTGTCTTAGGCTAGCAGTTTTACCATTTGGTAAGGTTTCCATTTTAACACCCCAGCAAGATATTCAATTCTGGGTCTTCCATGACTCTTTTTACACTCTACCTTACCTTTCAGTGATGTTAGCATCCAACAAGAATTTCTGATAAGGTGTCCAATCAAATTGTTCCTCCTTCTTTCTATTGTTATCAAAAGTAGTCTTTCTTCTCCTGATATGATCAGAATGTCTTCATTTCTCCTCCGATCTGTCCATGATACATGTAGCATTTGTCACCAGCACCAGAACTCAGATGCCTCCAGTTTGTTTTTCTGCCCCCTGAAATGTCCAGGTATCCAAGCCATACAACGCTATACTCCACATAAAATTTTTGATAAAACAATAATACTGCTATAGAACATAATTGTTGATACATTCAAATCCAAACCACAGCAAAACATTAAGGAGTTTTTACATTATGTAATTATTCACAATAAGCAGCATGTTTACTCTGTTTATTCTAAAACTATTAATATATAAAAACTAAAAACTAGTTAAGTAATGTTGTATCAGCATGTAATTGGAGTGAGGCTGCTTGCACCTTCATTTTCTAGATTATGTGGGTCAAAAGAGAGAAAGAATCATTCTTTCTCAACAATATATTTGATTTTTATTGTATCATTTAAAGGTCAAATGTAAATGTAAGGTCAAAATAAGCCATTAATTAATTGCTATGCCAACGTATCATGAAATTCTGTCTATCACTATGGGCCTTGGACTTACAGATTGACTTGTAGCAATCTTTATTGTAACTGTTAAAAAATATTATGTCAGTTATTTTTTTCACTGGACTGAATGCAACATAGGTAAGACCGATAGCTATCTCTTTTTTACCTATATCTATTTTGATTTTTGGAAGAATGTGATTTATGTATAGTCATCGAGTATGCTAAGGTAAGGTGAAACTGTCTATGAGATCACAATATACTGCCATCGTTCGAAGAGCGTGTTATGGGGATTATTGGAAACAGATTACCATAGACAAAAGGTCCTCGATAGCTATCAAATTCCACTAAAGTAAACAGAGGAAGAGCTGGAGGGTGAACATTAGGAGCATATATAATGTAATGTATAGTTCCTAGCAAACCATTGACGAGACCTCCTTGCATCCATAAGTTGACTCTCAGCATAATTCTGGCATTAACTGAAAGATTAAAATACTTGGAGAGACCAAGAGCTGAGTCATCTTTAGATGAAGGCAGGACAATATCTGGAGTGTTTTCAGATGCTGTATAAGTAACAGGGCACCCAGTTGACTGCAAGTAATCTTCGTTGCTTTGTTTAACTTGCTCGTTTGTTGGATATAGCTCTACTGCCGTTTGGAACTGACCAAGTTCATCTCTGGATAAATAGGCTTGATAAATAGATTCTGCCACATAGGACATAGCCTTAGTCAACTCATTTTGTCTAATTCTGAAGAAAAACGCAACTTTCATTTTGAACCCTATCTCCAGTTCTACAAAAATGGATCGTTTTTGAGAGTTGAAATTTTAATCAGTTCATCCTTGAGTGATGATGAGTTGTCCTAGAAAATTTCATCAAGATCAGACAACTCATTCTAGAGTTATGATGTTGATAAGGTATGCATGAAGTCAAATGTTAGTCGTCGCTCAGCTTCACGTCGCTCCGACAACAAGTACACAGTAATAAAAATTTAGATCATGAGGATGTGAGAAATTCACTTCTGTTTGCTGAGCACAAAGTATTGTTTACCAAGCAAAAGACAGGCAAGCTGTCAAACATGGTAAAAGATAGATCATATTGAATGTTTATGACACTTTCTGTGTTGCTTATTGTGAATAATTTCATAATGTAAGAACTCCTGTAAATGAACTTTTTGATGGAACTATGTTGTGTTTAAGAACATTAGTGATCTTCACTAGTTTACCTATCACAGTGATTTTTGTGACATCATTTCAACTATATTACATCACTATCAAATTGGTTAAGATAGAGTATGAATTTAACTTAAGTCTTCTTAACCATTTTGTATGCTGTTTTTGATAATAGAAAGTTTGAATCAGCTAAACACAGAATGTATTCAAATATAAATTTCTGAAAAGAAAATCAGCAGTAATTAGGATATGCAAAGAAAGATCATGAAGTATAGGAATCATCATAAAATAATATCTGACATACAGGAGCTCCTCTAATTTAAGATTGGATCTATATGCTCCTAATCTACTGTTTTAACACTCCTATTAGTATCATATTATAGAGTACATAATAAAAATCAGGAGCCGAGTCAGTCCATTTTTACTGACTCCTCTAGCAACAAATTTGCTTCTGACTCAGACTCCACATTCTTTTATTTAATAAAACTGTTGCAATGTGATTAATCTGAAATAATTAAGTAGCAGTAGCAACTCATGGTATCTAATATGGAGGTGCTGTTGCAGGAGGGTGCATAGCTACAACACCAATAGATTGTTATTTTGTATAATGTTTTTTATCAAAATCAACACAGATGAAAATTTTACACAAAATCAAAACAGTACTATTAGAGTTTGTACTATATATCCTCCTGCAACAACACCCAGTTATAGATAGCACAAGCCACTATGTTCCATAGACTACATATCGGATACACAAAGATGTATTTTCGGAACATAAATCTCTGGTGTTATTTTTCAAAATATATTGTTTCAAAATAAGATGACATCAGATTAGTAGAAACTTGAACTATAGTATAACAAGAATGGAAATGATGTGCAGGATCTTGAATGTGCCATTCTGCCACTGTAGCTAAATAGCAAAGTTACACACAAAGTTGAATAAAATAGAACAGAATAAAAACTTAAAAAATTCAAACATTATATTGTGTGACACTTTTTTTATAATCTCAAATTTGCAAAAATGTCAGTACAGCCTCACTGTACTGACAAAGTCTACTGTGGATAGTATTTGAACTATCTACGAAAGTCATATTCATGCATATAACATGATTGATTGTGGGAAAATAAAAACAGAATTACTGTTATATATTATTATGTATTTTACATTTATATTTTTTAGACTTAAAACAGGTTTAATCTATGTAACCATCTTTTGCTGTAAATGGCTGTTTCTTATTCTGTATAATCTTGTAAATGAATGTCTTTGTATAACCTCAGTGTTTTATCATAATACATTGCTTTCAATAGGCACTCTTTTTCTAATTATTTCTTCTACCCACAGATTTAGCATTTTTTCTATCTTGAGTAAACACCTTATGGGCTATATGGATTAAAGTATTTTATATTCAGTTAAATGAAAAAAAATTCATTATCTGATTCAACAAATCAAGCAAAACTAAATAAAATTACATACTGCACACAAAAGTTCATGAAACTCATTATAAAAGTGAGTTTTGACAAATTTACAAGTGGCACCTGTATGATGCTTGTGAACCGTGGATAACCAAAACCTTGGTCTCACTGTAATTTAAAATAAATTATAACAATTTAAATATATATGTAGAGCATATGATAAGATGTTATATTCTATGATACTTTGTAATGAACTCTCAACTATTTTCCTTCATTTATGTAAACATTTTTTTTTTTTTATTCTTTCTGCTTATGGGCACTAAAAAAGCCTTTATATCAAGTTCATCATGGGTTTGGCCAAGTGGTGAGAAACAGGGCCCCACAGATCTGAGACAGATCATGGAAAATTCCTGAGGCTTTTCAACCCAAGTGGATTTATTCCCAGAACAGTAGCCTTAACTGCTTAGCCATTTGATCCACACATAGACTAATGAACATTAGCTCCATTCTTATTCTGAGAAAGGCTATAGTTAGCAGAGGAAGTAAACATCTTTGCTCATTTAATGATTTAAGATTTGTGATAAAATTTCAAAATTTTATTTAATTACTTACATATGTAAAGGATAGAGAAACATTAAAGATTTTATTTGTTTTTAATTTCTATTAAGTATTAATGTAAATATGAAGGCTATTTCTTTTTCAACCTCCAAATGTACAAACAAAAGACAAATGTAAATAACAAAATGAATTTATTACCAAAAGTTAGGTACAAA